CCCCCCCCCCGGGGGCCAAAGCCGCAGCCGGGGAGCGAGGGACGACAGGGCGGCGGCGGACCAGCCAGAAGCCCTTTCAAGCATAGCCGATGTTGAACCATCTTCCTCGGTCTTTAGCGCTTTTCCCTAACCGAAAGAGGTGGAGCGGCGGGGGTCGGGGGAGGGGGCCGCTGTGGATCTCAGCTCAGTTCCATCGTTGGGCACTTCGGGCGTGAGTGGGGGTGAGGAGGTGAACTCGCGAGCCTGTCTCCTGTTTCCGTGGAGAAGGATGGACAGCGGAGGAGGACATCTACCCCTGTCCACTGACCACAGCATGCTCGCCCAGGTCCCGAGGCGGACCTTAAGGCTGCAGCCCGAGACCACCGCTGTCACTGGCTGGACAGCTGGGCCCAGGGCTTTTTGTACTGGCCCTGGAGGCGTCTCCTTTCTGCTCAAGGGCATATCAATGACCAGACGCAACCCTCAGCAGACCCCAAACGGCTTTCTTCCCCATTAGGACTTGTAAAGCTAACTCCACTCCAACCTTCCATCCGCCTAGAGAGAGGTAGATGGTAAAGACGAAAGTTGTGGCATCCTGTGGAGCCCACCAGGGGACTTCGAAAGTTTGTGGAAAATGGAATTAAAGTATGAGGTTTTCTGGTGCAAAAAAAAATGTTAAAATCTAAGCATATTTTTTTAATGAAAAAAAAATGCACATTTTCCATGGACTTTTGGAGGACCCCTGGTAAAGGTGCAAAGACAGAACTCTCAGGCAGAACCTGGCACCTGAGACTGTGGCACCATGGTTGTGCTTCCTACTTTCAAACCCTCTGGGTGACTGGTCAACCCCCTACCTTTCTGCCTAAGCCATCTAAGTGACAGCCTGTATCCTCAGTGACCTTTGGCCTCCTTCTCAAGTGATGTCAGGTCATCACCCATAGAAGAAAGGAAGTGAAAGAAAAAGCTCATGCCTTCTTGGAGTGCAGATGCTCAGAGTGAAAGAAAAAATAAGACTTGAGACTGGAAGCCAAACAACCATGTCTCCTCACTGAGTCCAGCGAGGTTATCCTCCTCCTGCCCCAGTGTGGTGCCATCTTTCTGGATAAGATGACTGGGCTCATGGAAGACAAAGACCACATCCTGATAACATTGTCTGGACATTCTCACCATCGCAATCCCCCGCACGATGCTGAGGACAGCAAGCGAGAAGAAAGTAAGGCCTTGAAAGAATATACATTAGAAAATGAGTAGTATTTTTTTTCTTTTTGAGAGGTTTTTGCTATGGGGCACATGCATTCACCAGGAAGACAGAGAGAGACAGAGAGACAGAAAGCGAGAAGTCACCCCCCAGGGGAGATAGCTATGACACAGTCCCTTCTCCTCCATTCTCCTCTCAGGATCTTGGACACGCACGCACATGCGCCTGGTGTGAGTTTAAGCCACCGGGTCTGGGACTCAAACCTTGGTCAACTACATGGTAGTCCAGTGACATAGCCATTATGTTAACTGCTGGTCCCCAGAAAATGAGTAGTAATTTGATAGTCTTGTAGAAGAACATACTCTCAGCCCCCAAAAGCCGAACACCTTGACTGGAGCATAAAGATCAAAGCTGGGTACTATGAAATAGCCAGGTGATGTTTCTCCCACAAGGCTAGGGTCTGGACTTTCATATGGAAGAAAACATTGAACAGGGTCAATGCTACTTTATGCATATTCTGCTGGGATTTAAAAAAAAATAAACTCCTGGGATTTAAAGAAAAATAAAATAAAATCATCTATGTGCAGTGACTAATAATTAGCATGTGTGCTTAGAAAGGATTCTCTCCAGGGTCTGCTTTGACAGCGGGGTACTACTGGCAGTAGTAATGGGCCTTTTCTTCCCCACAAACTACAGGGGTCATGCAGGAGGTGAATTGGTGAATTAGGGATTGGTTATCCCTCTCTATCTCTCTCTAAGTCTCCCCCACTATTTGAGAGGGATGTTTTTCAGTTTTGTAGAAGATGCTGTGTAAACAGCTTCACTCCCTCCAAGCCACATTGCCTGAGGGAGTCCCCCTACATAGTCACTGCCTTTGGGAGTGACTGGAAGGAGAGGCCATAAACTGTCTCCTTTGGCCGCCTCTGGCCTGCTTCTCCCTACAGTTGCTAGATGCCACTGATCTACTCCTGACTCTTAGGAGCAGAGAACTGACCTCCCTAAGGCAGTTTGAATTCAGTTTTCCTATCACTTATAGCTCCAAAAGTTGTGACTAACGTGCCCAGCCCTGGGCAATGGGCTGGTTCAGAGGTTATCACATAACCCAAGTCAGTCTGACGAGACTAGGAATTTCATGGATCTGCTGGGAAAACAAATTGCAGAAGCTGGGCCTGAAACAGCCAAAGGCTACTATGGGAAAGGGGTCTACAGAGAGAGACCAGAGGAGAGAAGAGTAGAGCCAACCTACAGAAGAGGGCAAGATAAAGGCATTCTGATGACACTGAGTTCCAGAACCCAGTAGTGACTGACAGCTCCCTTACCGCTGTAGTTGTAGTTACAGCGACCAGTACATGATGTTTTATCCAGAGCAGCTTGAATTTAGAAACTAGGAAGGTCCAGATAAATACACTGAATTTTGCAATTGATTTATTTAAACTACAAACGCCCTCAACTTACGATGGGGTTACATACTGATAATCCATTGCAAATTGAAAATATTGGAGGTTGAAAATGAATTTAATTCCCCTAACCTACCCACCACAGTTTAGCCTAGCCTACCTTAAACATGCTTGGACCATTTATATTAGCCTATCCTGGGCAAGTTTATTCAGCACAAAGCCTATTGTATAATAATATGTTATAGTAAATCTGATAGTAATATTTTATAAAGAATTTTGGATCAAAATTCCAAGTACAGTTTTACTGAATGTGTATCACTTTTACATTTTTGTAAAGTAGAAAAGTCCTAAATCGAACCACTGTAGATTGGGGGCCATCTGTGTTTCGTTTTAAAGCTTAGTGGACATTGATGCATCTCAAGTTCTTTGTGAAGAGAACAAAGTGAAATGGTGAAGTAAAATAATTAATTCTCCAGACCTGTTTCTCCAGTATCAAAGGAGGATGCTAGAGTTCCGAGTAATCAACTAATCAACTAGTCTTTATATGGATAGTACTAGGACTCTGTTATGTGCCTGTGACATACCCAGAATTTACAAAGTGCTTCTTCACCTGTCCCTATCTGCCATCTAACTAGGAATGACTTAAAAACTAATGAACAGCACCACCAAGAGTAGCTAAGACCTAATTATAGGACACAGACTATGCGCATTATAGATCAGGTTGTTCTCAAACTGTGTAGACCCAAATTACAATTTAGTAGCTGGCAGAATGAATTTGGCTTTGTTGGCTCCATCTTGATTTTTTTTCAAGTTTTTTTTTTTTATTTATTTTTTGATGAGAGAAGGAGACAGAGAGGTTGAGTGTGAGAGAAGCACCCCCAACAGTGTCGTCACACTGCTGTCTCACCCCTAGCCTCACCAGCCTGGATCACAGGCACATTCATGCACAGAGAGACTCCTTAACTCAAACTTGGGACCTTCTCATGTGGCCTCAGCATCGTGAAGTGTTGTGTTACCACTGCACCATTGTGGCTGGCTGCTGCTTCTCCTTCTTTTTCTTTCCCCCCTGAACATATCAAAGACTGAACACAAAAATGTAGATTTAGTTCTTGAAAAAATCAAAGTCAAGTAACATTGGGCATATGTAACAGTCACGATAGGCCAGGTTTTGCTGCAGTAGCAAACATCCCCCAAAACTCCATGGCCTAACACAAGAAAGACTTTATTTCTCACCCATACAAGGCAACTGTGAATAAAGGTGAGTCCCCAGGACAGCTGTACTGTAGGTGATGGCTCACTGCTGAAACTCCATATCAGCAAATGTGTTCATGGTCACCTTGGCAAAGAAAGAGAAAGCAGAGAGAGCCAAACACCACCACCTAAATATTTCTTCCTAGAGTAATATATGTCACTTAATTTTTAAAAAAAGAATTATTTATTTAATTTAATTTATCATTATTATTATTTTTATTTTACTACACAGCACACAAACTCTCTGGCAAGGCAGAGAGAGGGAGAGAGAGAGAAAGCAAGGAAGCAAGTCACCAGGCCTGGGACTCTAACCAGCTGGTCATATGTGAGTCCAGTGCCTTAACCATCACAC